TGTGTGTGTGTGTGTCTATATAGCTACCGTCTCCATTCAACTGTCCGTGAGAATGCGGCTCAGTGCTGCGTTCGTGTATATGTGTGCTTGCTCGTGCACATACTTCATTGTGTTCATGTCCGTGGTCCACGCATAGAGACGAGACAAAGTGCATTGAGAAAGCAGTAGCAGTGTTGGCGGTGGCGGTGGTGGGGAGGTGGGGAGGAGACGAGCTCCAGCCTGCAAGCCCCAGACGGGCTGGCTCCGGAGGGGCTGCACCCAGGCACAGAGCTGCCTTTGTCAGGGTAATTATCCTGACGCTCACCCTCTGCTGGTGGAGCTACCGGTTGGTAGGGTGGCTAACGCACTAGCGCCACCATTCATCACTGGGGGAAAGTTGTCAGTGTAGGATCGACCCACATGACGTTTCTTTTTAAAGTTTTTTTTCTTGTGTGCAGGAGGACATCAGATTGATTTTGCATATTCCGACTCAACTAAGTCGTCGAATTGCATTTCAGCTTGGTGTTTCTATACACACACGCTGTCTCTCGGCTGCTGCTCAGCTAGTGCATTACTCAGCAACCGTTACCCTGATATTAAGGGTTCTCGTCCCAGTCCCTGTGACGCTGCCTGTCTTTCCTGCCTTGATAGAATCTCCCAGCTTTCAGCAGCCGCTCGGGCCCCAGCCAACCGGTATGAGGTACAGGCAGACAAGAAGTGCTGGAGGAAAAAGAGGGAAAGAGATAGCCCAGGTATCTGCCAATCCTCTCTCTGTTTGTGTGTGTGTAGGAACCAAAGGATTATCCCATAGGAGTTAAATGAAGCCTGTCCAAAATAAGGAGACGCTGCCCAGCTCTTTAAACGCCTCCTGTTGACTGTAGTTGATGTATCAAGAAGGTGGCAGCAGGCCAACAGGCTTGAAATACAGCAGGAAACACAATAGGCTTGATGATATAGCGTTGTTTACAGTGGCAGACGAGGAGTCATCTTCGTCAGCCAGTCTGTCTTTCTATGCTTTTCCCTTTTTTATGCTTTTTTTTTCTCTAGCTTCGCTTTTAGAGCTGCCTCCTTCACCTGCTGCTGAGGACACAGATCGTTTGCATATGGAGAGACATGATTTGTCTGACAGGTTGTGGTCAATATTTCACTCTGCCATAAGGAGTCTTTTGGAAGTATATTCTTTGGCGGGAACATCAGTTGATGCTTGAATATCGGCTTTGTGAACAGACAGTTGATGTTACATATTGTGGCTAGAAAGAAAACAATCCATCTTTAGAGCCCCAAGCCAGAAGTCAAGGTTTGAATCCCCCGAGCCCCATCGCACTCTCTCTCTCTGCGTTCCTTTCTGTTTATCCTTGTCCTTTTCTCTGTTTAAGTTTAACTCTTAACCCAGTATGACGACCGAAAACGTCTCTTTTTCCCTCTGTCTTTCTAGGGTTCCAAGGCCTGTTTCTTGCGGGACATCCCCTTCTCAGCCATCTACTTCCCCTGCTATGCCCACACTAAGGCTTACCTCTCTGATGAGGACGGACGGATAGGGCCAGCCAAGATGCTGTTTGCTGGAGCGCTGGCAGGTAATATACTAAAATACTTTCAGCCATTTTATTTTACCGGGAAAAAAAGAAGAACTATCAGGATTCATTTTCTAGATAACATTAACTAAACAGTTCTTGCAAGAACTGAACCTGCGGGGGCCTTGATTAAAAATCAAAAGCACCTGTGTGTGCTTTCTGTGAAGCTGTTCTGAAAGTCGGGAACATACTGTGTATGGTCACAAGAAGAAATAAAAGCAGGAACAATGTAATTTGCCTCTTAATTTTTTTCCTCCTATTTAAAAATGAGTATTAATATTTTTTTAATTCTGAATGGGTAGTGTATCTCATCTTGTACTGTTAAGACTGAATATAGTCTGTAAATTAATATCTCTAACATAATTGGACTACTACGTGTGCAACATTAAATAAAAAAATATATATTGTGGACAGGTTAAGACAACTGTGTCCCTGTAAAGACTTAAAACTTACAATTACTGCTTTTTTTTGACACTGACATCTCCTTATAATGTTCATATGGTGCCTGTTTACACATCCAGCAGCTTCATCAACTATCTATAATTCATTCATTAATAGCTTGTGCGTCTAGCCACCCTGGCCAATGCAATTGGTTTAAGCAACTCAACCACAACTGTGTCTGTCTGCCATTTGGTGGTGGACAAGTTGCATGCAGTGAATTTTTAGAGCTTTTCTGATGAGAGTAAAGTAGAAGGCTGTAAAACCAAAACAATGAGTTGAGAGACATTAAAACGCTTTCGTAGAACTGAGGGGAACGGCAGAGTCAGTTATACGAGCCATTTCTTTTCACATACAAGTAGTCACGTGATCCATTGTCAATATAAAAATATTGCTTATAGCAGCTTAAGAATTTAACTGTGGGATCAGCTCTTGTGAGACTTTCCAAGATCTTTTACACGACACAGCTAACAGAAAAGGTCACACAAATCGCAGACTTTGTGTCTGTTACAGTGCAACCTCCCTTTTATTAGCTGTCATCACTGTTCGTAAGAGTGGCTCTCATGAGGCCAGGTCTTTTGACATGTGTGTGCAGTTTGTTTGGACTCTGCAATCTCTGTTTTAATAGCTTAACCTTTTAGTGTGTGTCCATAACTCTAAAAACAGCATTTCGTCTTGTAATATATTTGACCATTCATAGTGAGGCAAAAAACCAAAAAGCTTCAGTCCCTGAGGAAATATGCAGCACTGAAGTTTATGAAATTAAGTCTTTGGTCGCGTCCAGCTTTGAACAAAGTGTGAGAGCAGGTCTCGCACTGCTCTCGCCTCAGACCTCCGCAGGCCTGCAGTAACAGTAGCAGAGCTCAGAGTTTGGAAGCCAGGCAGCCTCTGACCGCAGGCTCCATGGCGGTAGCTGCTAATTAGAGCGCAGCTCAGTGATTGGGGACTGGGGTTTTGGAGCTCTGCAGCAGGGAAGCGCCTGAGATGCCTGCCAACCAGGCCGGCAAGGAGGCTTTCCAATCCTAATAATATTGTACATGCACATACACACGTCAAGGCAAACATGCCTGTGCATACTTTCTGCATGTTCACCCTGCAGGAATGCATACAGTCCTGTCTGTAGGTTAGTCATAACAGCGAGGCAAAGAGGCCAAAAGGACCGACATCCACTGATGACTTGACAACTTTATCCTCTGCATGAAAATATGATCTATCCAGAGCAGAGTTTTAATATTGGAGTCATCCCTAAAGAAAACACTAATAACAGACCAGCACTCCCTGCCAAGTTAAAAGGCTTTAGAACATTTGCATAAAAGACTTAATATTTGTTTTGAATCCTCAGAGATGTGTCAGCAGCACTCTCTTTTTGACGCAGAGGCGCAGCACAACACGGAAAAATCATAAATCCTACCTCCCTACTCCATTTTTACTCTGGTTTCTCACCACAAGACTGGCAGCCACGGCCCACAGACTCCGAGCTGAAACGAGCCTCATGATTTCTTTATTTTTTTCGTTACTTCGACACATTTATCATCCTTCGTTCGCATATATTTATCAGCGGTTACAGCATTCTGGCAATTAGTGTTTTACAGTCAGCACAGGAAATTGAATTACACGCTCAGTTTGCACAGCATTATTTAGCTAGGCATTACTCTGGTCTGTGAAGAACATAGCGTTGGCCATCTCTAACTTGCATTAGCCCTGTATGTGAGAAAGAGTTATTGAGGGAGATTTTGGCCGTATTTGCTGCGGGGTGTGAGGAATATCCATGTTGTTCAGTCTGACTGTTCGTCAGTTTCCCGGCAACTACTGGCCACATCTCCCTGACATTTTGCATCAATGTTAATGGTCTCCCGAGAATGACTTCTAATATTGCAGAACACGTGGTCATTTTTGTCCATGACATGAGAAACTAATGTTTTAATTTTATTCTTGTATAGTTGAAACAAGCCGAATTAACGATTACTCAATTGGAACTATTTAAAGTACACTGTGGAGTTTTTGACCACTAGTCTAACAAGAGATCACATTCTGCCATTGCTTTAAAAGCTGGCAGTAATGCGTCAAGAAACACAGAAATGCACCTTAAAGGCAGAGATGAAGATTTCTAGCAAGCAAACATGAATCTAACAAAACACAATTCAAAATCTATTTTAAAAAAATTAGACGTGTTTTGGTGAGTAACACTGAATGTAAGCATCACTTTTGTTTTTTATAAGAAAAGCTTTAACTGAATATGTTTGGGACATTTAAAGACACCTTGATCTATGGGAAATTGTGATTGACACATTTTTTGGACATTATATTATTCTCATGCTGATTTTAGTCTATTCTGTACTCAGAGTGTCTGCCTGTTGTGGAGGAGGGATCGCTCTTCTTGCTCTTACTGAAGTGTCTTCCTTTTTTTTCCCAGTTAAAACACTGAATCCGAATTGCGGGTCAGAGGATAGAGGCTGTTACATATTGTTCAGATTGTAAAGCCCCTTATGGCAAATTTCTGATTTGTTACATTTGGTTATATAATTAAAATGAACATTTATATTCATATATATTCACAAAAATAATCACTCTACTATGAAGAGAAAATAAGTCATTGTAATGAAAATAATAGTTTCAGCCTTTATTCATACATATTCATCTCATGAGAACACTTTGAAGGCTTAAAAGAAATATTAAATGTTAAGTTGTATAAATACAATGTCATTTTACCGTGTTAAAAAGACTGCATCATTGATATTATATGATATATACCACTGTGCCATTATTCTGAAATTCAAATCTTTTTCAAATATTTTCTTTTGGAGGATCAGAGTTTCTAATGTCTTAACTCTCTTTTCTCTTCATTAACCATCCTCTACCACAACTCCTTCAAAGAAATCACAGGAAGCTTCCTCATATTCTTTCCT